AGGGAAAGACACAAAAAAGGTACAAAAGTATCTGCACCTGCCAGATGGAAGAACAGTGTTTACCCTAAGCTTCTGACTCCAGCTGCCCAAATTCAGAGCTGGTTTCAGTCCTATCTCACCTTGGACGGTGGCATACACAATGTGTCTGCATATATGGGCTAGATATATTTTTCCTTGGTTGACGTTTGTTTTCATCTTTTTGTCTCTCCCTTATGCTCGCAAATTTTCCTTAGATTATGTATGTTTACACCAAAATATTTCAGCCTTTGAATTTTCTTCATCTTCCCAAAACATATTCTGGTGAAAGCCATCAGTACAAGCCCCAAATATTTCTGAAAAAGATATCATTAATCTTCCTGGGCATTGGGGTTAGCTTGCCTCCCAAATAGATAAGATGTTTCCACACTGGGTCTCCAGGTTATGATGATCACAAGTACAGTTTGCCCAAGATCCCCATGGACGGAGGATGAAGAGAGCATAAGGCAGTGACTACTGCTCACTGAAAACACAGAAGCAGTATTTCCAAACTGAAGTAATTCACTTTGAGTGTCTTGTTAATCATCCAAAGTAAATCAGTCTAGAAAGGAGGTTTTGTTTGTTTTTTTTACAGAAGTCAGACACTTTTTGTGAAGAAAAAAAAATATTCACTTTCTCAGGAAATTAACTATGCAGGAAAATTCTTTGTCAGCTCTGTGCTGAGGCCACGAGGCTGTACTGGCCATCAGTGTTTTCTGCTTCAAAGGTTTTCAGAGTTCATGGTTATGATACAGAATTTAAACATAGTCAGACACATTCAGGATTGAAAATCCACTCGCTTTAGGGGGAGCGAGGAACTAAAATATCTCTGACCACCTTTGTTAAAGGGATTTATGTAGTTATTATGCCCCACAGGAAACTGTAAATCCTCACCTTGACCAAATTTTCCCCTGGCTTAGTTCTCTGCTATAGAAATCCCCCTGGCCCTTGGAAAGATACCTGAGTGGTGATCTAAGGTACAGCTCCGTGTTGTTCACAGACTCAATAACAGCCGTTTCTTCTTGCTGTTGTGCATCTCCAAGACCTGTCCTTCCCACCATGATTTCATCACCAGGTTGCCAATCAACAGGTTCCTGGAGCAGTAATCGTGTGTCGTTAGCATGAGCTGATGATTCCAGTTGTGTGAAAGCTACTTTGGGCATCCAACCTGTAAAAAAAAAGAGAAAAAAAAATTAAAAAAGCAAGTCGATCCACATTAAAAATATAGGAGCAACATGCCTTGGAAACACCATGTCACTTGGATCATCCTGCAGTCATTCTTTCTTTTTTTTTTGAGGCTGTATAGGAGAGTTGGGATTAATATCACAAAAGAGATTTGTGCACATCTGCTTGGATCAGAAATGCAACGTTTTCCAAACAACATTTCATATCTTTTGTCTTTGTTGGTCCCTAAAGGCTGAAAAAACATGTTGCAAAGAAGTTTGCTCAACAGGCAGTGGGAACTGAGGTTCAGTTTCATTCCCCAAACTGACTTCCCCACATGAGAAACACCCTCTTCTTAAGCACCCTTTACAACTGGCAGAGCAAAGCACTCTCTACAGGGACCATCATCCTTCTTTGAGTACTGTCGTGGTGTAACCCCCATGAGCAACTAAGCTCCACGCAGCCGCTCGCTCACTCCCCCACGGTGGGATGGGGGAGAGAATCGGAA